GCTCTGTGTGTGACAGGGTGCAGCGCCCCAACCCCCTGATTCGCCCTGCTCTGTGTGTGACAGGGGGCGGTGCCCCAACCCCCCAATCGGCCCTACCCTGAGCGTGAGTGAGGGCGGCATTGCAACCTCCCGATCCGCCCTGCTCTGTGCATGACGGGGCGGCGCCCCAACTCCCCAATCGGCCCTGCTCTGAGCCTGACCAGGGGCTGCACTTAGGGATTGGGCCTGCCCTCTGCCACCCGGGAGCAGGCCTAAGCCAGCAGGTCGTTATCTCCTGAGGGGTCCCAGACTGCGAGAGGGCACAGGTCGGGCTGGGGGACCCCCTTATCCCCGTCCCCCGAGTGCACAAATTTTTGTGCACTGGGCCTCTAGTATATATATATAGTAGAGATGGTTATTTCTTCAAAGAAACTGTATACTAGTTAAGTATTTGGAATTCTTCAAAGTATGGTGCATTTTATATGGAGTTGCAGTACTTATTCTCATTGAGTACTTTTATATATGACAGAACTATTTTTCCTAGAAACAAGCATTGTTTGGTGGCAGTAATTTTTAGATGTGTGCAGAAATAAAAGCAATATTAGAAAAAATCAGATTATTCTGCCTTCTAATGTTTGCCTTATTGAATTTATATTTATGATATTCCATGTAGTTCACATACCATCTTTAGAAATGGCACAAGTGTTCTGTCCCAAGTATAAGTAATAATTCTACTCTTAGCTCTTTGAAACAGGGGTAAACGTTGAAGGAAAATCACACTAAGACAGTGCATTCTGCAAAGATCTGCTGCTTCCTTTAGTGTTAGGGGTTTCTTCAAGTCCTAAAAAACATGAATTTAAAAATATCAAACACAGGCAATGTAAACAGTCAGGCATGCAAAAACAGTATTTTAGAGCATCTTACTCATAATGTCCCTACATGATAGATGTACTCCTATTCAATTATTTTGTTTTAAGAAAATTTTTAACAAGCGTATAATTTTTTTCTAAACAGCATAACTAATTATTTTGCTTAGAAGTGAAGACTTTTCCAAATAAACAGAGGCCCAGTATGTAGAGCATCTAATACTTTCATTTTTTAACATGGTGGAGGATGATCGCCTGCATGGAGGCATGGCTAGTATGTGTTTACAACCTCAAAGTAGAAATACAAGGAGTGTCATAAAGCTTCTTACTGTCACACCTGTTCCTATGTGTACTAAGGCAGTGTAGTCTAGCAGGAAACAAACAAACAAACAAATAAACTTTGGTTTGTAGCCTAGCTTTGCCACCAATTAGCTGTTTGACTCTTATTCATCTATTAAGTAGAATGACTGTAATGATTTAATGATACTGTAGATAAGGTACCTGGCATTGGCACGTAATAAAGATTTAGTAAAAGTTAGCTTCTATTATTAACCAACATTACTATTATTATTGTTATTCTTTTTTTTATTTTTCAATTGCAGTTAACATTCAATATTATTTTATACTAGAGGCCTGGTGCATGAAATTGATGAACTTGGGGGTGGGGGTTCTCAGCCAGGCCTGCGACCTCTTGCAGTTTGGGAGCCCTCGGGGGATGTCCGACCGTCAGTTTAGGCCCATCTAAGCTAACAGTTGGACACCCTTAGCACTGCCACAGAGGCAGGAGAGGCTCCCACCCCCGCCACTGTGCTCCCCCGCCAAGAGCCTGGCTTCTGGCTGAGCGGCACTCCCCCTGTGGGAGTGCACTGACCACCAGGAGGCAGCTCCTGCATTGAATGTCTGCCCCCTGGTGGGCAGTGCGCATCACAGTGACCACTCATTCCACCGTTTGGTTGATTTGCATATTAGCCTTTTATTATATAGGATTAGCTTCATGTGTACAGCATACTTGTTGGTATTCTTAACAGAAAACATGGGTTCTGCGCACCAGGGTAGATGGTTAGTTATCCAGATTCAACAGATGCTAAATTTCTTGTGGGATGTCACCACCCATGTCTTGAAACTGGAGCAGTAATGATCAGGAGAACAAGAATGAAATCAATATTTTTCCTTTGGTCAGGAAAGAAAGAGGTGACATGCTCATTTCAGAAAAAGAAAATTATCCTAACTTGTCTGTAAAGAGAGCCCAGAGTGCCATCATAAGAATGTGATCAATATATTTATCACTGTTTATTCGACAAACACATGACAAACACATATTTTCTGTTTATTCCTATAGCTACTGCTCATAAGCATTGCCACATCTCAGATGGAAGGGTGGAATAGGGGTGGGAACAGATCAACCAAAGAACTTGTATGCAAATATGCATAACCTCTGGACACAGACAATAGGGTGGTGAAGGCCTGGGGAAGGGTGTGGGATGGGCTAG